GGATCTTTCTCACGGTTTCACTTTCTCACCGATTACCCGGCACTGGTTAGTGGTTACACGCGTTACTCAAATTTTCACCTTCCAAGAATTTTGTCCAACTCCATAATTTACTACTCCGACAAGTATTACGATAATATTTTTTGGATTTAATAATTTTTTTTTTCTTGTAGATAGGTATTTCAATTTCTTTCACATGTAGTATTATTTTTATTTCCTCTCTAGAAACTATTATGGAGTTCATTTAAATTTTAAACACATTTAATAATTAATTGATTGGTAGAAATGTGTTTTGTGCGTTGGTTGATCTAAATGATCTAAACATGTATAAATTGTTGGAAAACTATTAAACATCCAAAATGTATGTCCAATATATGTTATTTATGGTGCATTGATCTATTATGGAGAATATTAATCTCTTCATAGATATGAAAAAAAAATCGATAAATGAATCCCAGACATAAACTCTACTAGTCTTTTTACGTTAGACCATAATAACATATAATTATTTAATAATTATTGCTAGTGTCGCTATATCATCACCTAATTTTATGTCTGCATAAATCAACAAAAATTAATAAATTTCTACATTTTATATTTATTCACCAACTTTTGGTCCGAATTAGTTATTTTTTGTAGTGTTATATGCTTGCAAATATACTTCAGTGCAATATTTGGCAATAACTTCATTTCCTAAACATTTGCATCATCTATACTATTGTATTGCATGGCTTTTGTATCAGATAACCAAGTGATCTTAAAATGATCAATAAATTTACTTTTGCAACAAAATGAATAATTGCTGAAGTTATTCAATTGGCAATGAATAATGCCAAAATTCTGATAGAATAAGCAAAATAGGGAGATGAAAAGCCTATACTCTCATAGTCCATCTTTTTCTGTTTACCAATAAACTAATTACTTTATTGTTTAATTAGTTCTGTTTTATTATGCTTAATATAAAACGAATCAGTCAGAAAAACGTCACCTATGACGTACTTTGACAACTTATGTTCCCTTTAAGGATATATAAATAAGTAAGATGCCTTCAAAC